CCAGGATATACAACTTGTTTTCCATCCTCAACCAATTTAAAGAACTTTTTGGCCACCGGAGTGGCATTTTCGATTTCTTCGTGGCCTGAAAACTCGTCTACTATATTTCTATGAGTACTATATAACAAACCTTCCATATCATCATGCATACTCGGTACGAAATAATCACAATCTTTCACTGTACCGTAATCATTAAAATGCCACTCTTTGATTTCTGAATCAATACCTTTAGCAATCAAGTGATCATACACTCCAGCTCTACAGAGCCAAAAGCGATGATAACGGTAATATCCCGTCAGTTTATTAATATAAATCATGTTTTAGTTTCGATATAATAACGTTATCGATTATTATTTTCGGAATTAATTATTGTCGAGATTACCCGAAATTATTTTCGACGTTCCGTTTCCGTTCGGAATAATTTTGGGAATTAAGCATTATATTTAATTAAATAATTAAACATGATTCAGTGATTAATTGTCAATTAATCACGATTAGTCATTTAAAGCCGTATGATTGGTTCCATTAATTCCCAAAAACCGTACTTAATTTTTCCAATTATTCTCACTTGATGTACCATTCTTCATGCTTGGGAAACCTTATTTTTTTTTTCCTCTCCCTTAAGTATGTGAACGTGGCATATGAGGAAAGATGATAGGATGACTCATCATTATTAGCCAATTAGCTTTAAGTAAGTGTCATGTTGTGGTTTGAACAATAAAACACCATGTCACCATATTTCCTACGGCTTGGTGTATAAAAGGGGCATTTGGGATGGAAATTTTTTCACAATTTAGCCCTTTATTCTCCCCTTAATATTTATTAAATTCAGCAAGAGTTAAGAGAGCAATTGCTAGTTCAAAGCACGCAAGAAAGCTCAGCACTCGCACCGCACGCCGCACACCGCTGAGAGCTTCGTCGCACGCACGGACGTAAGGCCGAACAACCCCGAGCAACAGTAGCGATCAGTCAAGAGGTCGAACAGGTAGCTTAAGGTTATCATATTTTTCAGTTATTAAGATCACTTCCTGGTTAATTGTTCGATCATGCTCGGGGGTTAGCATTGAGGTCGAGATGGTCGTGCGTATGGCCTAGGTTAATCATGTTCATGTGTGAATCACCAATCTCTTGAGTAGTTGCTATATAACCAGCCTTTTTATGTTATTTCATGATCAGTCCTTCAATATTGTTCGAGAAAATGTTTGTAATTAAGTATTGTTTCGGCCGATAGAAGTGGCCGTGCACATAGCGCATGCCACCGGCCGTTCATGCTTAGTAAGTGTGTTAGGCTAAAGTCCTTCGAGCACTTTGTGTTATTTTATTCAGTAAATATTGTTCATGTTCAGTTGAGGTTCAATTGCCGAGAGGAAATGATGTTTGGTCGTAAAACGGCTTATCGCCGTCGGCGGCGCACAGTGCGCCCGCCGCTGCCGAGTTCAGCTTTTATGTAAAAATT